TGTGGCTCATCTCTGCTGATGAAAATCCAACGAAACCCAAGCAACTACTCTGTTCAGGTAGGCATCTGACTCGCTTTCTCTGGAAAACGTGCAGTAGTGGAGTACACCAGTGCTTCTTGCATTTTAACCTATTAAAGGGCTGTTTCTGAGAGTCTCTTGAGAGGAGGGCCCAACTGTTCGAGGCTGCACCTGGGTTCAAGAACAGGGGTATTTTGAGCTGTACCTCACAGACTGTTCCAAGCCTCCTGAGACACGGGATCCTGACTGCAGGCCGTGCTGCGGCGAGGCGAACCCCGACCGGGGCTCAGGAGAGCCCCACAGTGCTCCCGCTGCCCCGCGCCGGCGTGGTGCTGGGGTGTGACCCCAGAGCCCCCCACTGGTGTGGTGCTGTGCTGGGGTGTGACCCCAGAGCCCCCCACTGGCACGGTGCTGTGCTGGGGTGTGACCCCAGTGCCCCCCATTGGCGTGGTGCTGTGCTGGGGTGTGACCCCAGAGCCCCCCACTGGTGTGGTGCTGTGCTGGGGTGTGACCCCAGAGCCCCCCACTGGCACGGTGCTGTGCTGGGGTGTGACCCCAGAGCCCCCCACTGGCGTGGTGCTGTGCTGGGCTGTGACCCCAGTGCCCCCCATTGGCGTGGTGCTGTGCTGGGGTGTGACCCCAGAGCCCCCCACTGGTGTGGTGCTGTGCTGGGGTGTGACCCCAGAGCCCCCCACTGGCACGGTGCTGTGCTGGGGTGTGACCCCAGGGCCCCCCACTGGCGTGGTGAGTGGAGCGGGTCCCTCCCAGGGCTCTGGCTGGGGTCAGCACAGCCCGGGCTGTGGCCCCTCCTCCCTCCTCCTCCTCCCCTGCCTTCCCAAGTACAACTTTTCAACACGTTTTTAAGAAAAGCTTTTCTTCATTCTCACGGACGGGCTACGAAAAGTGACTGAGCACATTCTGTTTTCTGAGTCATCAGTAGCTACTGAAAGGATGGCTCGCTTCCCTCCTAAAGCATTCTTGTGGTGTTGCAACCACACTTCCTTTTTAAATGTAACTTTCTATTCAGTTTACACTTTATCTCTCTGTTTCAATGGTGTCATTTCAGCTAGTGTTAATTAAATATAGACCCCAGTACTCCTGCTGTTTTCCAACTCCCTAAAACAAGTTTGTGCAATTAAACTCTCCCCCAATATGGCAGCTTATCAAACTTACCTGAGCCAATTTTTAGGGCATGTTTCCAGATAATTTTTGAGATTAAAAGATTGCTTTTGACCAAGTAAAATTCCTCACAAATTTCATATAAATGAATTAATGTGAAAAATACCTATGCAGATTGCAAGAAGTTTGTTATTCTAATTTCACTTATCTGGTAAATAAAATTTTCATCTAACTGCATACTGAAGTAAACTGGATGAATTTCACTCACAGTGACACCAGATTTACCTGTTACCTTTCAAAGGCAACTGATACTGCTAACAGTGAAAGTATAATTTGTTTATTAAGGAAGAAAGCAGAAATCCTCAGGAAGAAGAAAAGCATTTCATTAAGAAATGTTATGCTGGAAAATTCATTTTATAGGAAAGCTTATCAATAAATTACAGCAGTAATGAAGAGTGCTAATTTTAAACTAGAAATCGGAGTTAGTGATGCCCACGGTGTAGATCAATATTAATTTCTCTGTATTTACAGTATCTTAATCTGGGAACACAGTAAACTGGGTGTGGTTTGCTAGTTTTAGTTCTGACATAGGTGGAGGTTTTAAAATAAACATCCATTGGATCTTTTCCACTTCTATTCTTTATATTGCTATTTATAGAAAGCACTTAAAAATCTTTAAGCTAAAAAAGTCTGCCATGGATTCTCCTCAAGTGTTCAGCACTGGTCCAGCTCTTACAGAATTCAATGTCACTGACTTATCCAGAAGACAATTAAGTCAAAAGGTCTGTTTTTTTTTTTTTTTTTTTTAAATAGTGACTAAATACCTTCTATAATTAAGAATTTGGCTTTGTCTGTGGAACCATCCCTAACATCTTAAAAGTGCTAGTGATTTAGATGCATAAGACACAGATTTTGTAGAGCAGACAAGGCAGCTAATGTGTAATTCTAGCTTTAAGTATTCCATTTACATAACTTCTTAAGGAAGAAACTGTACCCTTCTAGAGAGAACATGAAAGCTGAAAGCTGGAGGTTATCTTAATGCTTGCTTATGTGGAAAATACTTCAGGAAAATAGCCTGCATTAAACTTAAATGCTTTGGATACATTCTGTACAGAGTCCTTTCTCTACTTAACAGCTTTTCTAAACAAAGAAATAACTTGGAAGGGTGCTCACTATGACACCTCTGTTACATCCAACTTGAGCACTGCTGTGCAGCCTTCTTAGTAGGTAAGAAGTTAAGCTTTGTAGCGTAACAAAATCAAATGAGAGAGCTGCTAAAACTCGGAAGAAGAGCTGTTTAAAGAAAGTTAAAACTCTGCTTTTCTTCTATCCTCATATTTTTCAATCCCCTAAAATCTTCATAGACTAATCTCTCCCCCGTTAAGGAAAAAAAGGCACAGGCTCTGACAGGCTGCCAGAATTTGTATACCTGTAATTTTCTGTCTGTGCTTTAACACACATTCTGGGTCCATTTTATGAATTCTGCAAGACCTTATTTAAAACTGCTGTCCGCAGATGAAAAAAAAAGCCCAGAACAAAACAAATGTTAAGAGTCAATAAAGAAACCCCTATCCAGGACCCTGCTCTCTATGTAGGAGGATCACGTGGGAAGATCTACCCTAAGGGAAGTTTTGGTGCAACTACCTCAAGATTAATTTCTTTCAGTGAATCTGTACTTCTATGCTAATTCTTCAACTGTCAGTAACCAAAATAAGTGATTTTTGTATTCAGAAAACATACCAACACACAAATAAAAGTCCAGTTGACATACTCGCTTCCAGTCACTTAGCACTTCAGAAAAATAATCTGTATTAGAGTTCTCTGCTTGTTTCTATTCAAAAATTACCTGTTACAAGCTCCTTTATTTCAGCATCAACAGATTTTCTCAACAATCGCAGAAGGGCAGGAATCCCACCGACGTTCTTCATTGCTATTTTGTTTTCATCAGTAGACTTGCCATAAACAAGGTTTCTCAGTGCACCACAAGCATTCTTCTGAACTTCCAGGACTCGGTGATCTAAGAGGTCAACCAGGTGCTTGATTCCTCCCAGCCTACACACCTAGAAAATGGCACGGCGTGAACGTTGGTATTTTGTAAAAACAGCACATTCAGTTCTACTTGAAGAAGAAACATTGTTGTTAAACCTCAACAATTTGGTTGTTAACTCTGCACTGAAAATCCCTGTGAACCAGTCACATCTGTGTGGAACAGGCTGGTGGAGACTTTCAGTCATTTGCTGTGTTCAGAGAATTGTTAAAGTTTTGTTTCCCAGTAATGTAGTTTTTAAAGAAATTCCTATACTTCAGAATATCTTTTAAGGGAATATTAGAAATGAGAAGTTGCAAAGACTTAAATGCCAACTTCCACACTTAGCTTCACACACAAATCAGTTCAAGTTAGGAGATATCCAGTCCTATCGGCATGTCTGAAGTTCCTTTTAAAAGGAAGGCCTCCTCTGCAGAAATTTCATAAACCAAATGATTTTATATCGTTTGCTTTAAGCACAGTAACTTTTGTGCCATACTATCCACAGATCGTGCCTAAGGAAGTTGGCCCAGATCTCTTTAAAAGATCTTGCTCTCATATCTGTTCCAAGTTCTCAGAATGCTAATTGTTCCCATTAAAAAAGAAGTAACTGCCAGTATAGAAATCTCTCTTTGGAAAGAAAAAAACTTTGTTCCAAAATTCCACAAGCAAAGTCGCAGACAGACTGCATCTACAGTTGTCTCTCTGACCACTGTAACTTGCCTTCCAAATCAAAAAGACAGCTTTTTAATTTGGGTAATGTTTCATGAGCTTGATTATATGCTATAGTATGTCTACAGTCCTTTATACCTGAACTGATGTGGTAGAGATGTGGTGCTGAGGGACATGGGGCAGTGGGGACCTGGCAGTGCTGGGGCAGCAGTTGGACTTGATGGTCTTAAAGGTCTCTTCCAACCAAAATGTGTTGATGATTTAAAAACATCAACTATTACTAATGCTAAATAGGGTAAATCAATGGACACACCACTTCAACCATGACATACAAGGTAGCACCAGAATCAAATTTTGCTTCAACTTTGGCATATTTCTTTTACTTTTGTATAATTTTGAAAAAATTGACACAAACACTCCACAATTTTTAAAACAAATTCTGGAATAATGAAAATGGAAACAGTGAACAAACAAAAGATATTCTATAGAAGAACATGTGCAGACAAATAACAATGCCCCAAGAATCACTAAACAAGCTGTCATATCCCTTATAAAATAGCAAGACTAACTTATACATCTGTCTACATCTGATTATCACTGCGATCTTTACTAGAACATCAGAGCCACCGCCACCTTTTCATCTGCCTCCCAGCAACAGTGAATTATGCTGGGCTATCTGCTTATAAAAGTTGCATCAACATTTTAATAATGTAAACAATATTTATACTGAAAAGAAGACTCATATGATATGAATGAAAATGCAAATTCCTTCAGATCAATAACAATAATCTGTATTTTTTCACTCAGATCTATCCTGCCTCCACATGACATTGACATAAATACTGTCCTCTACATCTAGGGTTGGATTTCCTTCCTTTGCCTTGCAGCTCACTCATTCTCTACAACGTCTTAAAACACCTTTATCAAAAACAGTGGGAAGCCTTCCAGAATTCTTGTTTTCCTTAGCTTCAGCCATCAACAGGTTATGCAAAACTAGGCTCTAGTAAACATGCATTACGGTTGTTCTCGATTACACAACCTGAACACAAAATATTTTCATATAAATTCCATGCAGCCTCTTCTGACAGGGGAAATCTCTGTGTGTGAGTACACACACCAAGGTACGTGGATACTGTCCTACACCTGGTACGAACAGAGAAACCCAGGGTCCAAAGGAGTGAGGTGAGATGGAGACAGAGCCCCCGGAGGCAGAGGCGGGGCGCAGCGCGGTACCTCGGTTTTCACCCGGTTGTCCCCGTAGCAGAGGTGCTGCAGGTAGGCAGCCGCGTTGGCCTGCACCGACGGGAACTGGTGCTGCAGCATGTGGATCACCTCGGGCAGCTCGGGGTCTCGCCACGCAAACTCCCTTCGTTAGAGGAACACATTCAGGAGTTAGTTACAGGTGTCTGTTTATTTACTAGGCAGAATTACTAGAGCACCTCAAGTGTTTCTCAGCAATTCCAGTGTTGTTCTGGAGTATCAGGGCTAGGAGGAAAAACAGGTATGTTGGAATAACTATCAGTCACGCCACCCCTGTGTCTCCCAGCTAGAAAAGCTGCTGTACATCCTACACTCTTCACTTAGCTTGGTTGTTGATTTCACTTACACAGACCGAAATTATACTGACTCAAGCACTGCAACCTACAGAAATCCCCCCAACTTAAGCATATAATGCAACAGACGCCCCCTTAACAATGCTGCTCAGGGGCATCTCTTCCATACAACGTTTTTTTTTCTCAGTGTTCAACGTTCTTCCTAGTCTGAAGTCAGTTATACTGCAACGAGAGCTGTGCAGCCTGAAATTTCATTACCATCATCAGATGCAGGAAGCCTGCATAATCTGAGTTATTTAGGCACTGCAAACGTAAAAATATTAAAATGAAACCTCCTTCAATAAACAAAATAGTTTTGCACAGAGAAATCCTGGAAAAATCATCAAACACATCCATGCCCAATTCAAAGATCTAGAAATGTACCCATTATTATTCGCTGTGATATCTTTTTTCTCTAAAGGAAGATTGAGGGTATAAAAACCTAAGGGAAAGTAGTATCTTAGTTTTCCCATGTTCAAAAAATCCAAGTAAATAATTTAAAAAAAAAAAAAGAAGGACGGTCCAAAAGCAGTATGTGGGGAGCTATTCGGAGGGGAATGCTGGCCTGGCCATCTGGGTCACCTCAGGATTCCTACAGTCTCCAAACCAGGGAAGTTCAGCTATGTGCCTGCTTGGAACTGCTCACCAACCTAGAGGTTTATTTGTCCATACTAATGGTAGAAAGACCTTAGGGAGAACTGCCTTCCTAATACATCCAGGAGCTTTCTGAGGACTCCTTCACTGTTATGGCAGAGTGATGCTTCCTGGCAGCCTGGCCTGGGGCTCCTGGAACACACTAACCTCTGCAAGTGCTTGATACGCAAATCAGAAATTGAAACTGATTAAAGGCAAGTTAAAAACTATTCCACTGTGAAATTACAAGATAAGAAGGTGCATCAGCAATGAAAACTGAGTCACAATGTCTCTAAAGTTCCTGGTTATGAATGTGAAGCATCCCTATGGCAAGTAGCTTCCCCAGCAAGCTGTGCCTGCCAGGCCAGCAGTGGCCAGGCAGCTGGTGAGCATTGCCACCATCCTACCAGCATCATCCAAAGCAATGTGTCATTCAGTTCAAGGAAATTAATCCAGTCTCTCAATATCTATTAAAACAAAACGAAACATACTAACTTCCAGTAATAAACAGAACAACTAAATAGATCAAAACCAGTGCTTTTAATTTTGAGACTTCAGGATAGAGCTACACTAGAAAAGAACTGACCCATGCTATGAGCCTTATGTAACTCAAGAACCCCAAAAGATTTCAGTGTGAGGCTCTAGACTCACCACAGCTATTAGCTATCTTTTTTCAAAGTTTATTTGGTGTCCTAATGTTTCATAGACTCACAGCATGGGTTGGGTTGGAAGGGATCGTAAAGATTGTCTAAGTCCAACCCCCCTGCCATGGGCAGGGACACCTCCCTCTCAAGCAGGTTGCTCAGAGCCCCATCCAGCCTGGCCTTGAACACCTCCAGGGATGGAGCATCCACAGCTTCCCTGGGCAACCTGGGCCAGGGTCTCACCACCCTCACAGGGAAGACACTAAAAGACTCCCGAGGCAGCACTGGAGTTCACATCCTCCATCCTGAGGTGCTCTCCTTTCTCTTCTTTCTAGCCCAGTGGAATGTGTCATGTGCTTTCATGGGCAGGCTGTGTCTAGAGGCTGCCTCAGTGAACTGGCAGTCTGAGGATGGACTGGAATTTCTGGCAATCACACCCCCATACTGAAGATAAACAGTTCCATAAATCCCTCCAAGCTTTACATGGGCTGGGTTTTGATTCTCCCATTTTAAAATGCAATGTTTAAATGAATAGTGTCTCCAATAAATTGTAATGATAACGTTACACTGGTCACATGCCCACGCTGTGTATGTGCATTTAAAACTATTTAAAGAATACAAATGTGTATTCACTTTCAAAATGGTACATTTATGTATCATTTTTAAACTACATTGTTTTGAAATTTCAGCAGAAAATCCATTCAAATATATTAGGTATGTATTTCCTAATTTTCAAATCTTGATTCCCATTCTCATAGAGAGAAAACTTACTATAATATTACGAGTTGCTCTGTAGAGTTACTCAAAACTAATTGTAATAATCTAGTCAGTTCTCAAATTTGTATTTCCTGTAATAACTTCCACATGAAAATAACTACAGAATAAAAAGGTGTAATAACTAAATACATAAAATTTTCTCTTAGGGTAGCAAGTAGGTTGCGTTTATTACCTTGGCTATAAAGTTATAGATCTTAATATCTAAATTAGTCCTGTTTAAACAACGTAAAACTGGAACGCGTGTAACCAAGTGCTGTACATATGGCAGGGCTGTATTAGAAATCCCACTCCAGCAGCTACGTCTGGCTCCTGAGAGCACGGGCAGACTTGCCTGGGGTCCTTCTGGATGCTGTCGACGGAGGGGGAGCGCGTGGTGCCGCCGTCGGGCGCGGCGTGCTGCAGCCTGCTGTAGCTGGCCTCGGACAGCCGGTACTGCGCCGACCTGTAGGGTTCCGCATAGGTAGCTGTTGTGTTCAGAGCATAATTATTTCTTTGGTATGTGAGTGTGCTACGCTGACTGGATGATCTTTGCAGATTTCCGACTCCTAGTACAAAATCAGTATTAAAACAGACTAGGTAACAAACGACTACTGAAGAGGCAATACGTGGTTAAAAGGTAAGAAAAAAAATCAAGTCAGTCCTCACAACACGTACCACACTCAGAGTGGAAACCTATCGCTATGCTTCAGGGAGCAATGACTTAACGGCCGGGGGAGGACAGAGAGGTTAGTTACAGCACTAGAAGTCTGCTGGAATCCCGTTTATGCCTCGACTTGCCTCAACAAATATTTACAGTAAGAAACGTATCTGACGCCATTGAGCAGAAATCTGGAGGCCAAATGTTTTCAAGGTTTATAATAAAATTAAATTACTAACAATAGTGTAAATTTGCCAACTGTACTAAAAAGAAAATGGAAAAATAAGTCAATAAAAATTTATATAGTTTATATGTTGTTTTCCTTTTCCCAGATATATGTACATTTTCCCTGAGAAAAGCTAACAGGAGGATGATTTCAAAGATTAAGCTGATGGTTTCAAAACCAGGAACATGTATCTTCCTGACTTCGCCGGGCTGTTGTGGTAGCTTTTCTTCTTCCAAGGTAAGTGATATTATTAGGGAGGCAAGTAAACAGAGAATTCCAATATCTAGTTATATTTCCCCATTGGCACACCCTGACAAACTTCATTTGCTTACTCTAGGTTGCAGAAGATGGGAGAATTGCAAAGAACTGTTATCTGCTCCATCACTCCATACTCTTGGTATTTCAGTTACACTAATCAACATTAAAAAGCAGTTTTCAAACGCGTGAAAACACTGCAGACGAACTGACCCTTCTCTATAAATATTGCTAAAGGGTTACTTAGTGCAATCACTCTAATATTTCGAGAATTTTTGGAAACCACTCCACAATACAAATTATCAATGAACTTTAAAGAACAAACTACACCGCAATATGCATAACATTTCTCTTTACAGAAAATCAGTTCTAATACTGATCTCATATCTAGGTGCTCCTTAACACACAAGTAGTAATCAATACTATAGAAATATTTCAGTTTCAATACATGACCTTCAGATACAGTTTTTTAACATTATCCTTTGCCAAGAAGTTGGATAAAAACAGTATTTTTACTTTGCTTGGATGTACCCGGGCGTGTGCTATCAAACAGCCCGCTCAGCTGACACTGACATATAGCTGCAAGTATTTCTTGCACACGTGACAAAAGCTTTTTAACTCCTGCTGGTTATTTTACATCATTCAAGCCTAGTTTCTCTCCATTAATTTGTAACTTCTGGTTTTTCCTTTCGAGCTGGCACTACCTCTCTCACACGTTCTCCCACGTGCCACAGGCTCCCGAAAAGCTGCCGTGGGTAAGCTAAGGGTGCCCTGGGACACAGGGAAGAGGAGCGCCCCGGGAGCCCTTCACCCACCTGATCCCGCCCGGTACAGCGCCGCCTGCGAGCCCTGCTGCAGCTGGGCGTGCGTGGGGCTGCGGAACAGGGGGCTGTAGTACGGCCGGCCCTCGTAGATGGGCGTGATGTGCGCGTCGGGAGACACCGCGGGGCGCAGCTCCTGCCCCAGCTGACTGTGCTGGCTGGCGTAGGAACTCCTCAGGCCTGAAACCAAGAAAAGGGAAGTATGTTCACGGCCATATCAGTCACAGATAACAAAGCTGTCACGTTTGAATCTTTACTCTTTTAGCAAAGAAGATCTGTTACTTATATCTACAGTTATACAGATTTAGTCATTAACCTTTCCAGTATGAAATGACCAGAGATCCACTGAATGGTTTAGGTTGGAAGGGACCGTAAAGATGATCTAGTTCAACCCCCCTGCCATGGGCAGGGACACCTCCCACTAGACCAGGTTGCTCAGAGACCCATCCAATGTGGCCCTGAACACCTTCAGTGATAAGAACAACCACAACTTCCTTGGACAACCTGTTCCAGTGTCTCACCATTCTCATAATCAGGAGCTTCTCCCTAGTTTCTAATCTAAATTTCCCCTCTTCCAGTTCGAAGACGTTACCGCTTGTGCTGTCATTACAAGCCCTTGTAAGAAGTCCCTTCCCAACTTTCTTGTAGGCCACCTTCAGATACTGGAAACACATAAAAACATCTCTGGAGCCTTCTCCAGGCTGAACAACAACTCTCTCAGCCTGGCCTCCCAGCAGAGGGGTTCTGGCCCTCTCCATACTGAGAGTCATTGACAAAGTTGCATTTCTTTGATGAAAAGTTTTGACCATACACTGTCAGCTTTAAGTTTTCCAACACAATTGTTTGGATGGCATTTATAGCTGAAAGTCTAAAACATGCAGAATAAAAGCTAAGTCAGCATTTGCAGTTTATGGATTCGACAATGACAAGGTGAGTTGGGAACCTGGCAGAAATCCAGTTGTGAAACAGGGCACAGCCTAAGGGGGTTTAGAATCCCGAAACTTAAACAATCCGTACCAGTAAGAGCAAAAGTTCTTGGCAGAGATTTAAGCATGTAGAGAAAAGTCTTTCTAGAGGTGTAAATAGCACCAGGTAAGTGTGTACACACAGCTATGCTGCAGCTGTACGAGAACCTCTTTTTCAGCTTGCGTTTCAGCTGTCCCTCTTGATTTCTTTTTCACTTCTGTCTCATTTAACTTAGACTCCTCCACAGCAAACCTCCTGATACCACTTCTGCAGAGCCAGGTCCAAGCATGCTGTTGGCAGAGGCACAGAACAGCTCTCAACAGCAGGATCTTGAGTAGCGCTGCGCAAGGTCAGACGTGCTTCTCCTCGTGAAGGTTCCCCCTCTGTCTCCTCCAGGAGAGCTTCGTTCACGTTTTCTACAACTTCCTTCTGTGCGTTCCCGCGTGTTACCGTATTTCTTCAGCCAGCACTGATGCACCTTCTCCCTCACTGTTCTGCCAACTGAATTAGCAGCCAATCTCCTGCTGGGCTCACTGTGGCCACCCGTTTGAGGCCAGTGGTGCAGTCTCCCCCCGGCTTGTCCTGCTCTTCAGCTGAGGAACTCTTTTCTGGGAGGCAGCCCCACTGCCCCTCGTGTGCGCTTGGTACAAACCTGGCCCCTGGTACTGATGTACTAACTGGCTACCCCCAGCACCTTTCTCACCTGTTTTCAGTGCTTTCATTTAAAGCATCGTCGTTCCCCTAGTTATCAGTTATACTTCCAGAGTCTCCAGAGAAGTACTAACACACTGAACTAGGTAGCAGGAAAGAAAAAAAATTAGTTTGTTCTGAGAGTTCTTCGCCAATTCCTACTTGAGTTTTGTCAGCTTCTGTGCTGCTCTCAGAACCACAGGTACAGAGCTTCTCATCGCCCAAAGGAAAAGCTCTTCTGCACTCAGCAGTTTCTGCCCTACCCCTACTCTCAAAAAAATTCTTCTGGCAGCGTTTCAGAATGGCTGTTTCATCACCCCTCTCTCACCTCCCACACTTCTGCATCATCCATTTCTCTGCCTCGCATGCTCCTCACTGACTGCTTCCTGGGCTGGAACTTCACCTAGCCAACACTAAGCAAGCCTCAGGTGCTCATATTTAATAAAATATAAGCCAAGCCCATATTTATTTTCTAATTTCATGTACTTATATATCATATAATAGCTACACAACACTTTTGCCACCTACACCAACTTGGGTTTTGAGTATTACGCTACCAGGAAAATTCTCTTTAATTTTGAAAAGCTTTTATTTTTAATGTTTGTATTCCAGTCTCTTGAATTTTTACCTTCTTTGAAACAATTCCACAGTATTTCTGCTCTTGCCTCTGAGATTTACCTTGCCACAGGGTCCTCTTCCAGTCTCTGGCTTTTCTTTACTGCATCTTGCAAGGGCTTAATCTCCCCTTCACTCCTTTTGAACTCACTCCAGTTCCTTCTGCTCTTGACAGTCTTCATTTATTCTGTGATTTCACCAGTTTTATTCTTTTAATAAATTCTTCAGAGTAAAACTGACCAAATATACTTCCCATTGTACCGTAGTAAATAAGTGTGACAATCACCTACATGCCACCAGCATTCCTCACGCTTCCCTTCTCAGAATGCTAACCTAATTTTTTTCATTCTTGCCACATGATTGTCAGCTTTCTTGACTAGAATTATAGTCAGAGTTTATCTTCAGCATATACTCACTACATCATAAATTGCTTACAGAGTTAGAAAAAAGTCAGCAAATAAGTAGGTACCATACGAGTGGTATAGCCAAGGCAAACACATTTTAAAATATTCAGTCATTCACAATTTCAAGTAGGGCATAAAACCAGCATAATTTTTGGTTGTAAAAGATTGTTTTAGGACTATTTTATAAAACTAATACTGTTTTATCCACTTTGGTATTACTACTATAAGCACTGAAGCTTTAGCAGCTTTATAAGCAGTAGAATATCTTAGGTGAACTATGCAGAGGTTAAATGATTGCAGTGACTGAGATAGTGAACAACCTTAAAAACCAAAGCAGGGAAGTGTAACCAAACGTATCCTGCTTTTGCATATTTCTCCCCCCAAAATCAGAGTCCTGCTCTATCACTGTTCCTGCAAGGAAACCTCCTGGGGTCCTCACAGGCCATCTAGGAAAAGCTATCTGCAGGCAGTGTGAGCAGGGACGTGCCCGCAGCAGAGCGGGCGCCGGGCCCTGTCCCCAGCACGGCGGGTGGGACCCGCAGCTCCCAGATGGGACACGTCTCCTGGGAGGACACTCACCTGACTCCAGCTCACACAGCAGGGGGGAGTTTGGGCTGCTACAGCACTAACCTTTCCCTGCACCCAAGCTCCCTCTCAGAAAACTGAGCATTTACAAACTTGGGGTTAAGATTTCAGGTGTTATCTTGAACTGTTCCCTCTAAAGCCATGTGAAAACTCATTTATACTATAGAATGTAAGAGCTGTCCTTATCATACTGAGGGATTCTTACTTGGTCTGTCAGCAGAGCACAGGAAAGTGACACCATTTCAAGCTCCCCAGGAAGACAAGACTGGAGCTGGCTATAGGGCAAGATGCTCTCTAAGCCTGACTACCACAACTGCTAAGTACTTCCTTAACACTAAAAGCCATGCATTTGAACCATGTGCTTCTGAATTACCGATTCTCTATCCCAGGAACTTTTGAACTGAAATCAGTTCATTTGCCTAGACAAGGCGATATTCTCAAGCAGTGGTATTTGTAAAGTGCATTAATAATATTTTAAGAGTACAAGATTGCTGTTACATCACCAAGTACTCACCCCACTGGACTGCATTAACTTAAACTACTAAACAGCCTTCTTGGTCAAATCGATCTCCCCTCCCCTTATCAAACTGGGGGATTGCAATGTCATGCAAACAGAGGTGAGGAGAAGGAATCTTACACCTTTTGCTAAGGCATGAGAACATATTTTGTGTTTTCCTGCAGTATAGCAGTTCAAAAGAAAAACAAGATGTTGCAGTCTGTTGAAAAGAGTGTATGGTCTAACTGCAAAATCAGCTTGTCTGCTTATTTAGATGAGGGTCAGAACAAAACCAGTAACACATGAAGAGCTTAAAAAGTAAAGTTACCTAGCATCTTGTGCTTTGTGTATAACCTGCACATACATTTAAATGTATGTTATATTTAAAAATACTGAAATGCCTCTGTTTTGAAGACTCGGTTTCACTCAGGTACTTAAAACATGTGATTTGATAATTTAACGTGTGGCTAGCAATCTAGTAATTAAAGGGAGTATTCACAGGGAACGTTTGGTATGATTGATAGCGTTTGGTATCTGTATTCAGAACTGATTTGGTACATCTGCCACAACTGTGTCCTCGTGCTACTGTGTTTCACCCGTAAGACGACGATTGCCTCGGGGGTTTCCAGTCGTAGCCACGTGCCAGTTTTGAGCTGTGTCTTTACCTTTTTACTAACCTGTAAGGCTGTCTGGCCGCGGGGGAACCATCCTCTCGTATATGTCGTACTGCTGCCCGTACGGCTCCATATCGTGAATCGCTCTCTGCAGCGTGGTTCCCAAGTGCTGCGGGACCGCAGCCATGCCCGGGCGCTTTGGGGAAGAGGATCCCAGCTGCGCCTGGGACGGAGAGGCCACTCTGGCTTGCATGTCGGCGAGGGCGAGCGGAGAGCCCACCCTGACCGAGGGCTGGTACTGGGGCGCCCCGCCGCCGGGGCTGGCGG